AACACACACACACACGACGACGCGCGCGAGTAGAGGACGTACGGTACGTACGTAACGGTTACGGTTAGTTACGTTATTAACTACTAACTAACTACGTACGTACGTACGTACGTACTACTCTCTCTCTCTCTCTCTCTCTCTCTCTCTCTCTCTCTCTCTCTCTCTCTCTCTCTCTCTCTCTCTCTCTCTCTCCTTCTCTCTCTCTCTCTCTCTCTCTCTCTCTCTCTCTCTCTCCGTGTGTGTGTGTGCGTGCGTGCGTGCGTGCGTGCGTGCGTGCGTGCGCGTGTGTGTCGCACTCAGCCCTTTCCTCCTCTCTCCATCTCCTTCGCTCGCTCGTTCACGTTTGATCCCTTTCTCTCTCTGTCTCTCCGGCGCCCCTAGACTTATCCTGGTCTCTTCGCTCCCCCCTTATCGACGCACGCAAGCAGCCGCGTCATCGCAGACGTATAATTATGTTTGCATGGCTTCTCATTTGTACGCGCTAGTAAGGAAGGACTGTCATGTAGCGTGACGCCATTGCTATTACATACTCAGCGAGAACACAATCACGATCAGATCTAAATGGTAAATACTATACATTTAACACATGCATATAAATTTCACGACGCGCCATACACAACTGCAGCTAACATGAACGGCAATGACAACGATTTTACTCGTGAATTATTCGCGTAATATATCAGTATTACCACGTCTCCTAAGTTAGCCTTATAGGACGACGGCTAAACTATAATTGTTTAAATCATAGCCAGCAATAAATGTATTTAAATAAATCCTAAAACTATTCGATAACAATCATACAAACTAGAAATGAATAAACTATTAATACGGGGGTGTAACTACATTATGGTGCACCACATCACTGCATACTAACATCTACGCTTTTAACAAGGTTAAACGTGGCAAATTATTCAGAGAGGATAATGTGCTACATTATGCAATAATAATTGCACATAAAATTCCTATAAATTAGATTTTTTGCACATTCGTATCTATAATTTGTTGCTGATGCTTACACTTATCACTGCACGAAAGCCATACTGCGTTGAAACTGACACATGGGGACCTTTTCGACAGTAATATACAACTACAAAATTAATATAAGCTGCACAGACTAAGCTAGCAGTCGGGACAAAATTTTGTCGTTTGCAGTTCATTTCAGGTTTGGTTATTTGCCTGGTGTTATTTTTCGATACATGTCCAGGAAATGTCTCAGCAGTTCCATTGTACTTCACATAGGTACATTGTTCACACATTCACTTAAATAAGAAAACAATTTAAATAACGAAATCTTACAGTATTGGCACGAAAGATATCAGAACCTACAAAACAATATGCGTTTCTGAACACAAATTAGTCCCCCCCCCCCCTTAGAACACAATACTAACGTATTTATATTTGACTCTAAAACACATTTTGGGAAAACTAGCACTATTGCAACTGTTGGTAATGAAAATATTATTTAAAAAAATTTAAGTAGTTGCCTAACTGCGACGATAAATTGATTTGTAGACGTTGAAATATACCTCTTCCTGTCAAATAATAATTATCTCGTGTTTTGCAGTCACCAGTTGAAGAGCATAAAATAATAACCTACAACATGGACCTTCCTCTTACAGTACGAAACTTCCCCCTACAGTAGGAGCCTTGTTTCTACAATAGAAATCCTTTCCCCTACAATAGACACCTTTCCACAACAGGAACCCTCCTCCTACAATAGTAGCCTTCACCCTACAATAGCAGCCTTCCTTCTACAATAGTAGCCTTCCTTCTACAATAGTAGCCTTCCTTCCACTAGAGTAGCCTTCCTTCTACAATAGTAGCCTTCCTTCCACTAGAGTAGCCTGCCTCCAATAATAGAAACATTTCCCCTACAATATGAGCTTTCCATGTACAATGGAAATGTTCCCACTACAATAGAAGCTTTCCTTATACAATGGGAATGTTACCACTACAATAGGACTTTCTTATACAATAGGAGTGTTCCCTATACAATAGGAAGGTTCCCACTACAAAAGGAGCATTCCTTATAAGTCGGAATGTTCCCACTGCAGTGGGAGCTTTCCTTATACAATGGGAATGTTCCCACTACTATAGGAGCCTTCCTTATACAATTGCAATGTTCCCGCTACAACAGGAGCTTTCCTTATACAATAGGAATTAACATTCCACGTAAAATAGGAACCTTCATCTTTTCTGATTTTTGGTAGCTTTATAAAGGGGGAGAAGAAAACAAAATAAAAAGCATGTCAATGTTTATATGTGACTACATCAATAACTTTTACGTTCCCTCAGATACTAACCTACACACAATGACAAATCACAAGACATTACAACAACCAAATAAACCCTTATATCAGATATTCCTACCTATACTCCATGAAGCATGCATATATTTGCCAGCCTAGCATATTTTCTTTTCTTTAGGTATGTGGAAATATATTAAACAGTCTGATTAGATTTTTCTACACAATGCATAATATTGCAGCTATACTACCGATATGAGCTGGAAGACATCTACAGGTACAACCAACAAACATACTGCACTAAAATGAAAAACCAAATATGCAGTATTCTACTTTCAACACAATAAGAACTTATATCCTAATATATATCTATCTACTCACGGTCAAACGATTTTGTTATGTGGTATATCTAAAGCTTTGGATATAATGCTGACAGAATACTAATGGCACGCTTGCTATTATAGTGCATGATTTTATACTATTGTACACTGCTGCAATCTACACATTGCATATAAGTATTATAAACAACCAGAGAGCCTTGTATGCTTCAGCCTACACTCATTTGTAAATAAACAGCATAAATTTCAAAGCAAAAGCACCAATAAATTGTGATCCGGCTAGCCATACCTTCCAGGAACTAAATCTACAATGAGAGGAGTCTCAAAAGAAAGGAGAAAGGAGAAACATATCAAGAGAAAGTCTGAGAGGAGTATGAAAAGAAAAAAGCAATTCTCAAAATATGTCTCTGGTTTATGACAAATTAAACGGAGAGTTTACTCTAGGTTCTAGGGGTATTTTCAGCTAATTTAGGTTATAATTACGCTACATAAAAAGTTTCATGGTTCAATCACCATTAGAAATATTACTAAAAAATGTTTTAAAACTAACGACTACAGTTTGATTACAACGATGGTGGCGCCACTCAAAGCGCACGATCTGATGTTGCGCAAAACCACTTTCCAACCAAGGGCTACAGACCGAGGGTGTTTCTTATTTATTCATTTAAAAGCAAAAGGATTGTAATATCTTATAAACGACATATAGTTTCAGTTATAATATGGATAAATTTGCCCTAAAATGAATATCGTTCGGTTAAATAGCATTTAGGTATAAACCCAGCTGGCATTTCAACATTGTTTCAACG